AACTTATTTGAATATGACTAGAACCAAAATCTTTTATAAATAAAAAAAAAAGATCTTGAAAGACTCTTAACCGTTGAAGACATCGTTGGAGTGGACGAATAAATCCAAATACTATTGCTTCCATCATGATTATGGCCATTACACGATGAACTATTATGATTTGAAGGAATAAATTAAAAAACTCACTTATTGGGAACATCTTGAGAGGTTCATCCTAAGGCATCAAGAACCTTTACCTTAACCTCAGGGGTCGATAGAAAGGTAGATCAATATCATCATACTTTGGGAGAAGATAAATATCTTGAGCATATAATATGAAACCAATGTAAATATTTTTTATTATTTACAGATGATTACACAAGGATAATATTGATATATTTTCTATAAAAAAAAAGGTTGAAGTCGACTGATATTTCTTTTTGGAAAAAAAAATGTCAATAGAAGAGAGAAGTTGATTGTACTACAATCAAAGCATACGATGGTGTAATAGTAGAAGGATATTCAAAAAGCCCTAAATAGATGGGATTATCTTTTAACATTTCTATCCTTCGTATGAGGTTGAAGGTTGTCGAGTTCAGCTTCATCCCTAACAACTTTAACACTTTTTCCCTTACCATCTTGCATTTTTTTTTGGGGGGAGAACTCACGAGGTACTCTTCCTTTTGGAACGCTGTTGCAACAGCCCTGCCTAGCAGCTGTAACTCACTTTCTTAGGTGCTAATGCGTCTCATGTGAGGCTGCAGTTCCAGATGACTTCCCGTTTTGAAGTCGTGGAGCTGATCATCCACCACAGAGAAGGGAATAAGCACAGCCACATGTTCGCCGGAAGGCTTGAAACACAAGGACAGACTCATCGGCCGACTGATGGAAAGCTATCCATGAAATAGATGTGGTACGAGACGTCCCATCATATACATGTGTTTCGGGACATTTCATCAAGCATTCTTTAATATTTGGAGGCCCCATCATAGATATGTGATCTATCAAATGAAACCTCCTCCTCACAATCTCAAATGTGACCATGAGAGAGACAGATGTGAATTCAAACAATTTTCTTCTAATATATATTAAGTAAAATCCAATTTTTTTTCCCTAACTATTTAAGTATAATTGGACAAATTTTCGAAGGAAGTTGCTTTTTAAAACTTTTTTCAAAAAAAAATATTTTTTATTTCTAGAATTTGTTAATAATATATTTTTTAATATCTGGAATATTCTTTAACTCGATAGTAACCTACCAACAGATGGGTTAGAGCAGTTGACTATGCTGCAAGTAAAGCGGGCAATACTGTCATATCGGAAGGATTAGCAATTCTTGAAGCTCTACATTTTACAGAGCAGGAGGGCTTAAGCAAGATTTGGATATGCTCTGATTCTACTGTCTTTACTGATGCTGTCTTTATTGATTAATATAAATAGATATTTTTGAATAAATCAAAAGCAATTTTCATTTCTTCTACTTTCTTTTTCCCTTTTTTTCTTAAAGTTATACAGAAAACCAACAGATTCCCCATTTCTTTACTTGAAAGGATACTCAACTTTTCATGAACGATGAAAACTATATACAAGAACATTGATGCATACACCAACTCCGACAAACACACGAAAGAAAACATCTCACTGTTGCTGGTCCATCCTGTTCCGATTTGATTGTGTTACCACACTTATTACTCCTGTCAATCCTATATACGACTAGAGATCAAGCCTTTATGAATAAAAGACCATGCATTATCCGATTTTATTGTAGTTTTGACGTTGTTAGATACTGCCATGCCGTTTGCATTTTCCGAGGTATTACAGAAACTATTATAGGGCTTGAAAGTTGTATATATGCGTGTGTTTCTTGACAAAGTTTTTTAAAACAATTTTCTTAAAAAAATCATCTTTTAGCAATATTATGATGATCATTGTTGAAGAACTAAAAAGAGGTGGATCCATTCGAATTAGCTCTTTGGGGTAGTTTATCAGTAAAATCGAATCCTTATTTAATTCCTCGATATGAATTAAATTTTCTCCTTTGTTATTTCTCGATTATTTTTTTTTAATATTCTCTGTTCAATCCATTGAAAGTGATCCAATTAAGTCTTTTCGCGAGCTTCTGAGACAGAATATTACTGATTGAATTTAGACGTAGACAGAACACTCATTAATCTCACACGAGAAAGAGAAAGAGAAAGAGATTTTATGTTAAGATAATGATTACGTAGCTTCAAATTTATTTCTTAAGTTTTAAAATTTATATTTTATTCATATAAGTTATGTTATTTTTGTAATCGGATACACTTATATTTCACTATTATTCTAATTATTTTATGTATAAAACCATATTTTCTTTTTACAAAATAAATCAGATCAAATGTATCACGCACCTAAATGGAAGACCTACACATTCTCAATCATTTTCATTCTCAATTCCACCACCAAATATCAAGAAATACATTATAGTCTAATATATACTAAAATGATTTAAAAAATTTGAAATTTATGATCAAAGAATGGAAATTTTTTAGCGGAGACATCACAAAAATGTTATGACGCTATTTTTTAGTCATCAAACCGTAATATTTTGATCAAGAACATGATGTGTTGTCCGATTAAATATTTTTATCATGTCTCAAAATAATCAGGGAGCAAATATAGCTGACATCATTATTACATCAAAATAATCATGGAGCAAATATCAGCCTTGCTAAACCATTCTCATTGGATGAGATTATTATTGCTCTCAACCAAATGGACCGAATGGCTTCATCGTCTAATTTTACCATGGGTTCTAGAATGAATTAAAAGTCCTGATTCAATAGGCATTCCCTAGCTTTCACAATGATTGTTTCATTTTACCGAAAACCCACATGTTGCTCATTCCCAAAAGTATCAATGCCGCCATGATCATAGATTGTAGACCCTTCACCCTTTGTATCATAATTCGAAAATAATATCTAAGTTCTAGCCAATAGACTTAAGGAAAGGCTCCTCTCGTTCTCCTAAAGATTAACTTGGAAAAAAGATTTTGACACATTCTCCCGGGAAGCATCATTCTTACCCTTTGGAAAGGAAAATTTCCATCCAAATTCAATTCAGCGATTGGATCTAGGCTTGTATCCTATCTCCTTCTTTCTCTTACTTCATTAATGGTAAATTTTCCCTCCTTGGTTTAAAGGGAGGAGGGGTGTGAGACAATGAGAGCCTCTTTCATTCTATCTCTTCATCATTATACAACAAATGTTATCTAGTTTTATTGGATCTTTTATTTCCCGGAGCAAACATACAAAATCAAAGGTATTATTATCTCACTTCTTATATTTGTCAGTGATGTTTTGCTTGCATTTTTGTTTAGCTTTATATCTTATGCTAATATTACTTCCAATTCCTCAACTCTAATATGGGGGAACTGATTCCCAATCTTCTTCTTTTAAATACAACATGTCTTGAGACTCTTGTAAAATGTTTACTCTTATTTCTAATACTGAATAGTAATTTTTTTTAAAGAAAACGGGTGGCTGAGAAATTTATTGTACTACAATTAAAGCACATGATACTATAATACTGTAATGCTTCAGCTAACATGGTCAATTGTGTAAACGGCTATAAATACGCTCCCTGATTCCTAGATGGCATTATCTTTAGCATTGCTATCCTTTGCATAAGGATGAAGGTTGTTAAGCTCAGTTTCATCCCTAACACTTTTTCCTTACCATCTCATCGCTAAATCACAATTGAGTTATATTGTGAGATAGATTTATTTCATCATTATTGATGGACCAGTACGAGGAACACAAGACCGGTCCCCTTCCACGTAACCATCACAGTTAGTCATGGACCACCATATGGACCACCATCATCAAGAGAGAACCTTATATGTTAGTCATGGACCACCACGAGGAATACGACCTAAGACTCTATGACAAGGCCATGTATGGATGTAATCATTTTTTTCGTCATAGGAAATTGACAGATGATTGATGAATGACAAAGACGATTGATTGTGGGAAAAATATTTGAGAATTCTATTACTGAAACTTGATTACTCCGAACAAGATAATCTATAGATTCCTTGGTTATATCTTAATCTTAGCAACAAATCAAAATGATCTTAATATCTACTTTGATAGGATTTGGAATTCCTCACTCAGTCTTATGCTCAAAATTGGTCCCAAACACCTTCTCTATCATGAACCCTTTTGTGTTTTAATTTTTCATTATGTTATGTCATGTTATTTTTAGTTAATTATTTTATATATCCTTGCATACGGTGCAATGTGATTGTAATTACATATTACAAATAACTATGTCAGGTAACAAAATCCTGACATTGAACATGGCAGTAGGTGTTGTGGCAGCATCTTTGTGAGAGGGAAGCCATCTTGAGATGTCACGAGGCACGAAGAGAAACTTACTTGGTGATTGATGCGAATAAAACGAGAATTATTTCACTGAACTAATCAAATTGGAGGTTTCATGATTGAATAAAGATGAAGCATCCCAAAATGAACCAACTCATATGAGTGGATCACTCCTACAAGAATATGTAGATAGGTTTTAAAAGGAATTTAACCCTTTAAAGTAAAAAAGAGTTCGATTAATACACACATGGAAAAAATGTTGAAAGAAAAACTAAAGTTTATATAATATTATTTATAGTTTGAGAGTGAGTAGAGATGAGTTTGACACTGTTTAGAGTTATTATAAAACTTAAGTTAATATACGATTATATACATGATTTATAGTTTCTATTACGAGAGTGAGAGCAAGGATGATGGGTGCAAAACTAATTATATCTCGTCTTATTCCTATATTATTAAAAGCAAAACTAATCATAGGACGTCAATTAAAGATGATGGATAAGCTAAAACATAAGGCAATAAAAAAGGAGCGTACAGTCCCTGATGGCCCATTCGTTATCTTCTTTCTCATAAAACGTGACACTTACGAAACCAAACCAGATTCAAGACTCTATAAATTGCTACACGAGGCTGCAGGCTCTCGCCATCCCGTCATCACTTGCATCCAGATCAGAATGGAGAACGTAATTTCGCAGCCACACGTTCCAGGTGATGAAGTGGTGATTCGCAAGTCTGTAAGCTACCATCCCACCGTTTGGGGTGATTACTTTATCGTACAGGCGCAGTCCTCCCCCAGTACACAGGCATGTATATACACATATATCTCACAAATGTTCTAAGTTTTAGGCAAGAAACTCTCCGAGAACGAATGGTGTTAATGTTTCATTAACATGAAAAAAGTGCGCTTGCTACTTTGTTTTGGTTTTGTGGGTTGAACAATTACTTGCTATGGAGGATGAAGGAGTGCGATGCAAGGATGCAAGAGAGAGCTGCAGAACTGATGGAGCAGGTAAGAAGCATGTTCAAGGACACTACCGACATCTTGCAAACTATGGACTTGGTCGATTCAATCCAGCTTCTTGGATTGAGTTATCACTTCGAGAAAGAAATAAGTGAAGCATTAAACCGAGTCCATGATGCCGATTTTAACGATCAGGCTCTCTACGAGACTGCTCTCCGGTTTCGCTTGCTGAGACAAGAAGGGTATCATGTGACCCCTGGTAATATGCTCTTACGTTTCCTTGGAGTAGATGTATTTGTATGTTTTATCTATAATTTTGTGTTCGCCTTGTGTTTACTTCAGGCATAGAAAAATTATGTTTGCAGAAGTAATTCGATTTGTGTTTTTAAATATGAAGGAGGATTTTTGTTTTAAGAAAGCAACTTAATCAGCCCATCGAAAAAAAAGTCACCGAGTGACCTCACACTCCTCAAAACGTTTTGATCTCCTATAACAACTATATTAAAAAATGTACTTTGTTC